TTATTTTTTTTTGGTCTCAGTGCCCCAGGATTAGGGCAAGAGGGAAGAGCGGGACGTTAAAACTGTCTCCCTGCTGGGCTGTTCTGTGAACTCAGTTCTCTCTGAAGGCAGCCTGATGGCTCTGACCTGCGTTCCTGTATGGCAGGGGTCAAGGATGTGCTCATTCTTGTGAGTGATTACTTTGGCCAACAGAGCACCACTCTCTCAGCCTGGTCCCTGACCCTGAAGGACACATTTCTTTCATTCACTGGTTGAAGAGCTTAAGACTCAGAGCCAGGTTTTGTTGAGGGCCCTGTACAAGCTCTGGACTACCGTACTATTATGGTTGAAAACCGGATACCGATTGCTGTGAACTCATGGGTGAGTGGACATTAGCCCTCCACAAACTCAGCATTTGTATAATCCCAGGCTCTTCCCAGTAATTCTCTGGGGATCACTTCCCAGCCTGTCTGCTATTCCAGGATCCATACTCAGGCCTGCAGGAATGCCCAGCAGAGCTCTTCTGCCCTGGTCTATTAACTGCTTTCCCACAACCCGCTCAGCCTAGTTCCTTCATCTTGGTGACTGAGTGGGCACAGAAGCACTCGCAGAGGGTGTTTCAGCAAATGTTGCCACTGGGTGCAGACCTGCCTGTGGTTATGAACTATTGGGAGCCTGAGGGTAACTGTGTGCATGGGGTGGGTGGGGGTTGCTTTGTGATGGGCCAGAGCATGTCTGTGGGGGCAACAGTGTCTCTCCCATCATAGAAATGCTAATTCATTGATAGTCTTGGCTCTGGGTTGGTGTTTCTAACCTCATTGCTACTATGTCTTTGGTGGAGGTGTGGACAGTCCTCAAGTCATCATGGTCTGGGGATATGTCTGCTGGTATATACACTGGGCCTGACATCCAGGGAAGATAGGGTGGTTGGACAGAAAGAACTTCTAGAGACTGTTAGGACTTGGACAAGGTGGGGGGTATGGCTTTCTGTAGTTGGTCATTTGTCCCCTGTTGCGATAGGGGAAGGCCACTCTTGGTTTGCTTAACCGCAGATGGGATTTTCCTGGGGATTGCACCAGACTCTGCTGTCTGTCCTGAGATCCCCAACAGGGCTGCTTGCAAGTGCAGTGCCCATGCCCAGGGAACAGGTGAGGCATGAATGGGGAAGTGGGACCTCTGCCTTTAGCCCTTGAGGGGAGGCATTCCCTACTGACCCACCATTAGTGCCTAATCTCCCATGTCTCTCACACAAATGGTACAACAGCTTCCTAACTGGCCTCTCTGCCTTCAGTTGGATTGGAGCACAAATCCCTCCTTGACGTGTAAAATGTAGTCTAAGGCTCCCTGTGGCCTAAATAAAAGATAAAGCCTAAGTATCTTAGCAAGCACCCAGCCGCCCTTTCCCCCCATGATTTGGCCTACCTCCATCTTCACGTCTCATTCTGGCTTCACCCATTCTGAATCTCTTCTAGTTCCTCACATGTTCTCTTTTCCTTGCAGCCTTCACACGTGTTCCCACCGTGCAGTACCTTTCTCTGCCTCTGCTCCTAGAACTGTCTTCCCTTCCACTCCTGTCTCCAGCGTCTGTCTGGTCCGGTACTGCCTGCTTTTTTGGTCTCCCTCTTGTAATAGCCTCTGCTTAGTCATTTGGGGATTTTATATATTTTTTTTGGCCTCTCTCCTTTCTTCCTGTGTTCTCCCTCTTAGAGCAGGCATTTACCCTAGAAAAAAAGGATAACTGTGACTTTATCTACCAACATAAGATGAAGCCCACACTTAAAAAGCTGGTTCTTTCAAAGGGACACCTGCTCCCAGGGTTCTGGCTCCTCTTCACCGAATGTGACTTCCCATGCATTTCACAGGTCTCTGAAGGTCTCTGTGACTTTCTTCTGCTGCTAGAGACTCTAATCATGTAAGCCACAGGCTAATACACTTGGGCCTTAATCCTTTTTAGAAATTTCCCGTCTATCAGAGAAGCAGGATTTGGGAGGAGTTTTGAAGCTAATTGGGAAAGACACAGCAAACAGTACAGAAGGCGGAGTCTCCACATTGTCCCTGAGAGACATTTTGAAAGGCCTGACTGTTCAAGATGGATAGGAAAACCTATTCCTGTGATACTGACACCAGCTAACATTTGTTGCCAGGCAGTGTGCTAAGGTCTTTTCACCCATTGTCTCATCTAATACAGCGTACGCATTCTTATCTCCATGACACAAGAGAGGAAACTGAGGCCTAGAGAATGTGATTTGCCCAAAGTCACATAGCTAATAAAGGAGCTGGCATTCCTGGGATAAAAATGCATGTGTCTGTCACCACTGTGTGTTTGGCCTGACCTCACAGTAGGTGCTTGATAAATGTTTACTTGAGTGAGTGAAGCAGCAGATGGACAGGATGAACGTGACCGGATGAACGTGTTCAGTGGCAAAGGGCAGGGGTGAGGGCTGGGTGTCTTGCCACCCCCTGGAGAAGAGCCAGCACCTCCTGTCGGGCTTGCCAGGGCCTATCTTTCTTATCAGGAAAGGTGAGTACTTAAGGTGTTACAGCATTTCACCCAAAGAAGCCTAGAACGTGCTTCGCTTTTCTGTAATCCCAGGGGAGGAGGAGGAAGACACATTTCTCTCCTTTACCATTCTGCTGGTCTGGTGTTCCTGGGGGCCCTGGCAGGTAATAATGTCTGCTAAAGTGTTCCATGTGCTTCTCGTCTCCCTGGATCACGGGTGAGGCAGGCTGGAAGGGGGAATGTGAGAAGTGATGCGTAGTTCAGATTAGTTTGGTAAACCGCCTGATTAGTTCTGAGTGTGGGCCAGACACTGGGTATCTTACTGAGTTGAAGGAGCTGTTGCACCACCCACAGGGAAAGGGGTAGAACCAGGTCTGCTGCTTGGGCTTCTTCTCCAGGCTGCTGTTTGTGGGCCTTGGCTCAAGAGGTGCCCATTCATTGTTCCAAATTTCCGATTCCTGGGAGAGGAAAAATGCTTAGTTCAATTTCAGTCAGGCATGTGCTTAGATCAGACAGTTGTGGCCAGCAGGCCAGGTCCTGTCCTACAGATATGGCCACTAAGAGCCCCCTGCCCCAGTTATTGGAAAATGTACCAAGAGAAAGGAGCACTGTCAGGAACACTCTCAGGGGGTCTACTACACAGGTGGAAAAAGGCTTTGTTGCAACACCTGCCTTTCGCTTGGGAATGTGTTTAGTGGGGCTGAATTGTGTACGGAAATATAAGTCTGGGTTGGGGTGAGGGTTGTTACAAGATTGTCACGATGATTAAATGGCATGCCGTGCATGTAAAAATGCGTATCCCGTGCTTCGTGTATGATATTCCCCCAATGAATATTAGCAATGTGTTGCTATAGTAATAATAATTCTAACAACTTCATAGTTTTCATATGCAATTTCTAAACTTTGAACTTCCCTATGACTTACACAGAATTAGCTGGACACGTAATTCCAAAGAACACAACGTGCCCTTAGGTATAGCCTTCTCCTTTCACCATGCTTGGTAAGAAAGCTTTGTCAGGGGCTAAAGAAAGGAGTGCTTGTATGTAAGGTGTTTTCTTAATTCATTTACTGTTCTCTTGGCTGCTTTTTCTGACTTCCTGGTACCTGTCTTTCTCTAAGTGGTTTGCTTCCCTGAGCCACCCACCTGAGGCTTGATAGCTGTGCCGCCTCTGTGCTCTGTACACAAGCAGCCTCCGGGAGTGCCAGTTTCCAAGTCCACCTTCAGGGGCATGAAGAGGGAACTTTGCACATCCTACTTTTGAGAACGTGTACCAATTGCATGCCCTTGTGGGACATGTTTTCCATAAAAGGGCTCAGATCTTGTTGATCCTTAGAGATGTGGGAAAGAGCACTGAGTGAGGATTCCAAGGTGTTAGGCCTTAGTTTCTTCATGGCGGTGGTGTGAGGACTCCAATCAGTGTGTGAGCATGTGTGCTGAAGGGCTCTGTGAACTGGTGTGTGTGTGTGTGTGTGTGTGTGTGTGTGTGTGTGTGTGTGTGTGTGTGTGTGTTGGGGCGGGGAGTGGTGTCAGTGCTGAGACTGCTCTTACTAACCTGGGGCCATGAGAGTTGGTAATTGCATAACCCCCCACCTCTTGTTAGGGCCCTTTGGTTGGAGCTTCCCAGAAGGGGTTGCCATTTGCCATTGTATGTTGAAACCCATCCATCTGTTCATTCATTCATTCATTCAGCCAGCCAGCCACTATTTATTGAGCTCTTATTATATGACAGGCAGTGTTCAAGGCACTGGGTAAATAAAAAATAAAGAATCCCAGCCTTCATTGAGCTTATCTTCCAGTGGGGGAAATTGAAATTAAACAAGATAAGTAAATAAAATATGAAGTACCTTTGCACCAGCAGACTTGGTTCTTTGGGCCCCAGTAGTTAGCACCCTGGAGCAGGTATCCCTCTTCTCTATATACCCTGTTTCTGTCATGATGTGTATCACGCTGCTTCCCACCCTACACTGTGAGGGCAGAGATTGAGTTGGGTTCACCATTTTCTCTGGTGCTTAGTTTGTGCCTGACAGACACATGGAAGGCACACAATGTGGGTAATCAAACCATAGCCAACCATATGGAGAGGGTAGAAGTGAAAAGACCCGTATGCACTCGACTACTGTATGCATAAATACCATTTTCACCTTTCCTTTTAGAGCTTTCTTAATTGTTTTCAACAGGTCTATTTCACTATATGGATGTACCATGATTTATTTAACCGGTTCTCTAGGGATGCTTCTGTTGTTGTTTGCAATTGTTTGCTGTGATGAACACTCCACAGTGAACAACATTGTTTGTATCATTTGCACATGTGAAAGTTCTTCTGCAGGATAATTTCCTAGAAGTGGGATTGCTGATTCAGAGGGTATGACTCTCAGTATTGATTTGTAAAGTGAGGGCTGAAAAATGAGGCCTAAGAGTTGACTAATGACCACATGTAGTGGAAAAGTCACCAGTCCCTGTAAGATTTCTGCCCGAAGGTCTTAAGGCATCTGACATCATTTTTTTTTGTTTTTACACCAGGCTGGAGAATCTATGTTCAATCGCGCTAAGCTCCTCAATGTTGGCTTTCAAGAATCCTTAAAGGACTATGACTACAACTGCTTTGTGTTTAGCGATGTGGACCTCATTCCAATGAATGACCATAATGCCTACAGATGTTTTTCACAGCCGCGGCACATTTCTGTTGCAATGGATAAGTTTGGATTTAGGTAAGAGAAGTTCAGCCAGAGTCTGCAGTAAACATGTTTTTCTCTTATATGTTGACTAGGAAATGCAGTTTCTCCGGGCCAGGAGTGTCTCTTTAGGCTCTGGAGGAGAATGTTTCCTCTGAGAAATGGGTGCTTTTTAAGTCCAAAGTCAGTTGTTATTTGAGAAGGAAAGAGGAGTCCAGAAATGCCTGTTATCTCTGCACCTCCAGATGAGAACAGTTTTTAATGTTTGGGATGGCTGTCATCATCTTTAAGCTCCAAAGAGATACTGTATTTCCTCGCTCTGTTCTTTCCCCAGCCCCACACAGTTTGGGAAGCAAACTGGAATACTTTTCCCCCACTGAATTCTTGCGCTTAGATACCTTGGCAGATGTTCCTTGGCACTTTAAGAAGAACCATGATTCTGTTTCCCAGCAGAGCACAGGCCTGCTTAACGTGGAGCCCAAACTTTTCCACCAAAATGCCCTTAGTGAAGAGGCCAGCTGATACCTGTCCCCAGAGGCAAGGGTATAATCCAAAGCATACAAGGTGTCTTCAGAAAGTTCATGGAAAGATTCATGTTATCTTTTAGTTCCATTTTTCCGTGAACTTTCTGAAGTACCCTTGTGTTGTCATAAGTGGAAAATGGCTGTGTGGTCCATTATTTTATCTTAAAAGTAAATAGTTAAATCAGTTTGCATTTTGTTCTATTATTTATCCATGTTTGAATTAACGTAAAATTGTTTTAAATTTTCTGTCAGTTGAATAACACAACCTTTCCCTTCCTTGCTTTAAGTAAACTTGAAGCTCCAGGAACCTTGGCTTACAGGTACCCTGTGTGTTAGGTACCCTGGGGTAAGGCTGAATACCACAGGTGCGGTTGGCCTCTGCAGACAGCAGGCCGTTTGTTTAGATACAACTACTTTCTTTTTTTTTTTTTTTTTTTTTTTTTTTTTTTTTTTCGGGATTGCAAGCCTCGGTGTTGCACCCGCGCCTCACTCAGCCAGTGAGCGGGAGCCGGTCTGTATGTGGGATCCGAACCCTCGGACGGGAGCGCCGCCGCGCTTCCCAGGCGGCGCACTATCCAGTGCGCCACTGGGCCGGCCCGATACAACTACTTTCTTATCAGACTCCTTTTATTCTCATCATTTCTTCCTGTCCTCTCTTGCTGGGGCATGAGGGCTGTGAGGTGAATATAGGAATGTATGAAGGTCTTCCCCCTCATCAAAGATATCCAGGCCCTAAACTTGCTATCTGAGAGGGGGAAAAATTTGGTAGTAACATCACTTTTAGACTTTTTGGAAATCACTCTGTATCCTCCTGTCTTCCTTGCCTTCCTCTCTGTTTGTGTGTCTTTTCCTCTGAGTAATACACAGTTCATTTCAAAAGGAGAGAACACAACTGAGACCATCAGAGGTGGGAAAGGGGGATTAGCAAGAAATTGGTAAAGGTCCACAAAAAATGATCACATTGTTTAATGTTGAATATATTAATTATCCTGATTTGAGCATCACATATTGCACACAGGTATTGGTATTCAATGCTGTACCCCACAGATATGTACAATCATGTTTCAATTTTTAAAAAAGTAAATTTAAAAAATAGGAAAACAAAATAAAACCAACCAAGTTCATATCCTGACCCCTCTTAATTTCGATCTTGAAGCACGGTGGTGAGCTAGGATGGGACCCAAGTGGTCATCTAATTCTTTACCCCACAGCACCGTGTTTGTTTTACAGAGAACTGGTCAGGTTTGGGAGATGGGGCAGGTAGGTAAGAAAAAGCAGCAGAGACAGCAAAATCATATCTTGTCAACTTAACATGTACTTCCCCGTGAAGTGGCTAAGAATTCATTTCTGTAAAAACACTGATAATCAAAAAACCTTATTTGCCTGGCCACCTCTGGTTCCAACCCTCACATTCAAAGTTTAGACTTGGGGGCCGAGCCTGTGGCACACTTGGGAGAGTGCGGCGCTGGGAGTGCAGCAGCGCTCCCGCCGCGGGTTCGGATCCTATATAGGGATGGCTGGTGCGATGCGCTCACTGGCTGAGCGCGGTGTGGCCGATCACAAAAAAGACAAAAAAAAAAAAAACAAACAAAGTTTAGACTTGGCACCTAGGTAGTGATACCTAATTACAAGTAGATTATGTTGGATTCATTAAGGCAGGCACCCAGGGATCTTTGCTTGTGGACTTGCAGACAGAATTACTCAATGTATTTAAAAATAATAATGCATCTTTATTTTCTTCTGTTCTATATGGTTTGGCTCACTTCCCCCTCCAAATGTGAGTAAGAGTTGTCCTTCATTTATATCATGAGTTTTAGTCTCTCTGGATACCAGTAAGACCCTCAGTGTAGTTTGGAGCTGCACTCAGAGTCAGTACTAAACAGTAGCCCTTAGAGTACCTACAGGAAGGCCTTTCTGATTCTTGACGTTTCTCATGGCTGCTTACTCTGTATCCCTCAGGAGCCCATAATTCATAACCATTGAAATTCAAAAAGGTTTGGAAAGATGAGAGTCCAGATGCCCCACTACTTGGGAACATGTAAAAATAAATTCAGTATTATACACTTTGCTAAGTCAGGATAAAGTAAAAATTTCAAAGAAAACTTTATTTTAGCAAATTTCCAGAAATGCTGCCTCAACTGTTAGGGTCGGTGTTCAGGCCGGTGTGCCTCTGGATGATTGAAAGCTTAATTGGTAGGTGGGATAGGGGTGGAAAAGGAGTGCATGACAGGTGGGCACAGGGAAACTAAAACCATCTCAGATTTCAGGACCTACTGGATAAGGACTTGTTTGCAGCAGCAGGACATGTGGGAAGCTGGTTCCTGAGGTACTGTGGAAGAACTGGACTTATGCCCACTTTTGTCACTGACTGATTTTCTAGATAACCATGGAAACAGCACTGTATTCTTGGAAAGAGGAAGATTCTACTTTGTGATGTCTGTGTCTTCTCTAAGATAATTTGAGCCCTGATATGGGAGCAAAATAAACAAAGAAAACCCACATAAACCCCCATCAAAAAGTTTCAGAGAATAATGAATAACTTTAAAAGTGTTTGGTTTCAGCAAGCTTTATTTCAGGGATGTCAAAACTTACTAACCACTGGTCCTCTGTGTATGTTTTTTCCCCAGCCTACCTTATGTTCAGTATTTTGGAGGTGTCTCTGCTCTAAGTAAACAACAGTTTCTCTCTATCAATGGATTTCCTAATAATTATTGGGGCTGGGGAGGAGAAGATGATGACATTTTTAACAGGTAATGGTCACAACTTAGATTTCTTTCTACCCTGTTACCCTTCACTTTCAGTTTTTGAATTCGTGCTTGATTATTCTGCAAATACTGACCCTCAGAAGGGATGCAGACCCCACACAGCCTAAATATTTAGCTTTGTCCTCCTGTACGTCCTATAGGTGCTGAAGAGGGTCTTTGGGAAAATGAGTTTCTGAGATTTTTGGATTAGTCTTGGAAAGTGTAAAAATGGAACCAAGTAAAGGAGAGTGGATTTACTTTGACTAGCCAAATGCCATTTTGTACTGAAGGAGTAAACATATGTCCTTACGGCCGGCCCGTGGCTCACTCGGGAGAGTGCGGTGCTGATAACACCAAGGCCCCGGGTTCGGATCCCATATAGGGATGGCCGGTTCGCTCACTGGGTGAGCGTGGTGCGTGAAGGGTAACAGGGTAGAAAGAAATCTAAGTTGTGACCATTACCTGTTAAAAATGTCATCATCTTCTCCTCCCCAGCCCCAATGTGAAGGGTAACAGGGTAGAAAGAAATCTAAGTTGTGACCATTACCTGTTAAAAATGTCATCATCTTCTCCTCCCCAGCCCCAATTGCGGTGCTGATAACACCAAGGCCCCGGGTTCGGATCCCATATAGGGATGGCCGGTTCGCTCACTGGGTGAGCGTGGTGCTGACAACACCAAGCCAAGGGTTAAGATCCCCTTACTGGTCATCTTTAAAAAAAAAAAAATGTCCTTTGTTAAAATTCATCATCTGATTATGGTCTCTTTTCAGAGTGAAACAAGTTTCCTAGGGCAGAATCCTAACTTTCTTCACAGAAACTTTGTGCTATATTTTTACTTTGGAGTATTTTTAACATACACAGAATGGATAGAAAAGTATAATGAACCTTTAGGACCCACAGGCCTTGTGGCAGCTCTGTGGTAATGACTTGTCCATTTACTCTTTACAGAATAGTTTTTAGAGGCATGTCTGTATCTCGCCCGAATGCTGTGGTTGGAAGGTGTCGCATGATCCGCCACTCAAGAGACAAGAAAAATGAACCCAATCCTCAGAGGTGCATTCTGTGTTCATGCATAATTCCTTCCTCTGTCCCTTCAGCATGGGGCAGGCTGCAGGTTGGGTCTCTGGAGAGAGCTCTGTGCCTCGAGGGAGATGGCAGTGTTTGGTCTGTGGGGCAGGGGTGGAGTGGGAGGGAAGGTGGGGGGATGAAGTACAAACATTTAGTAGTTCCTTCTTAGGTGTTTGTTTTGACACCATCCGTTGTCCTTTTTTTCCTTGTAGGTTTGACCGAATTGCACACACAAAGGAGACAATGTTCTCTGATGGTTTGAACTCACTCACCTACCAGGTGTTGGACATAGAGAGAAACCCATTGTATACCAAAATCACAGTGGACATCGGGACCCCGAGCTAGCATTTTGGTACACTAATAAGAGACCTGAAAATGGCCAGGGACCTCTGCTGTGTGTCTCTGCCAACCTGCTGGGCTGGCCCCTCTCATTTTTACCAATCTGGGTGACAGGTCCCCATCACTCGTCATTCAGATGCCTTTCCAGATGACCAGGACGAGTGGGATATTTTTCCCCCAACTTGGCTCAGCATGTGACTTCTTAGCTCTACAAGGTGTTTGTCAGTGTAGAAACTGTCAGCCTTTGGGAGATTCTTCACATGTTCACAGTGTCATCCCAAAATGTCAGAACTGTATGCAGCCCCAAATTGGGTGACTGTGGGACTCATTCCCAGCGGTACAACTGCTAAATTGTTGTGAAATAGGTAAGAATTTTGCTTTAAATTGTGGTGTTCTTATTGCTTCATGGAAAATTGGAGTGATGCTGAAATTGGATTGGTGTGATATTTTTTGGTTGTCATATTCTGACAGAAAAACACAAAATTTCAACCATTCTCATTTTATGCCCTGTCCCCCCCTTGGTGGTATGCAACTATTACAATCACTGTGTGTGTGTCTTTTCTTAGCAAAAGAATTTTAAAACTTGAGCTTTGAACCTTTTGTCTTGCTAATGTGTGAATTCTAAGGCAACTTTAGCCATCAGAGCAAAAGCCTTGGGTGTTCTCACATTCAGTGGCCTATCTCCAGATTGTCTGATTTCTGAATGTAAAGATTTTTTTAAAAAATAGCAGTTTGTAGTATTTTAAAGAACAAATCAAGTTCTAATTATGATCTAGCTTGATTTTTGTGTTGATCCAAATTTGCATAGCTGTTTATTGTTAATTCATGACAATTTATTTTTCTGGGCATGCTATGTAAACTTGAATTTCCTATGAATTTTTATCGTGGTGTTTTAAATGTAGGGAGGGGATTGAGCATTTTTTAGGGAAAAATATAATGTATGCTGTAGTGGCCACAACTGGGCCTCTGATTTATCTGGCGGGCCGGGTTTTATGAAGAGCAAAATCACCTTCTGGTCAATTGATGAGGATAAGGCCTCCCAGTCAGCATTATCCTGCCAGACCTCTGGGCAGAGTTCCCCACCCTCCCCAGGTGGGCAGGGTGGAAGGAACCTCAACCACCTTGGACCACCCCTCAGGACCCTAGGCTGTGGGGTTGTCAAAAACAGCTATCAGGTCATATACCAGCCCATTGCGCCTCCCCAGGTGGAAAGGGTGGGGACCTCTGTTCTGGCAGGGGCTGCCTTCAGGGGCTCTGCCAGCCACACTCCCTGACCCATCCTGCATTACCAGTTCTTCTTTCTCCCCTTTCTTCTCTTTCCCTGCCTTCCTCCTTCCTTCCTCTCTCTCTTTTTGTTCCTTTGCCTCGTGCCTGTTCCCTAGAACTTGCCTGTGGCACTCAGGGTCAACCAGACTATTCATTCTCCATCATGAATGTGCCTTTTAATTAGAGATCTAGAAATAAGTTCAGCTGAATGCACACCCTGACTCCCTTCTGAGAACTGTGGTGCCTAATGCCTCCCATTCCCCCTCAGGTTTTTAGCAGGTGCTCCCACCCTAGTGAGGCTAACCCACCTCTGCTGGGAGATGTTTTGCCACTTGGGGTGAAATGTCTGAGGTGCTTCCTACAACTGAGCGCCTTTGCCAGGTCCAGCCTGGGCTGAGGTCCTAAGATTCAGCTGCCCAACCCCAGGATTGAGCCCTTTGCTTGTAGCAGCCTGGACCCCAACCACTGCCTCCTGGGCACTAGCCTTCAGTGTGGAGGCTGAGCTAGTGCCCAGCCCCAATCTTATCTGTGCCTTTATCACTTTGAGCTTCTCAGATGCTAACTTGGTTCTTTTTCCAGAAGCCTTTGTATTGGTTAAAATTATTTTCCACTATAGAAGCAGCTGGACTATGCAAAGAGTATTTCCTCTGTCAGTTACCTGCTCCTTAATAACGATGTTATTAAAACTAGGAATGACTGCACTGAGAAGGAGTTTTGAGAAATGCAAAGAATGAAGGACTCTCTTTCTGTCCCCAGATTCTGACTTTTCCAAAGTGCCTTAAAAGAAAGGAGACAAATGCCTTGGGTGGCAACTTCTTTGTTACTTTACTCTTAAAATAAAATTCTGCCTTTTTTCTTTCATTTTTTCCTGTTACATTTTCATTCATGTGAAGTACATGGTTCATTCGCAGAACCAGGGGGAACACTGCTTCACCTGCTCCCCCCATTTGCTGATCTTCCAGTGCTCTCATGGGGCCCAGCTAGGCCCATGGCACAGTTAGGCCTGGACGTTTGCCTGATTCACGAGATGCTGCAGGTCCTGTTCCTCATGGGGGATTCTAGGGCTGAGGGTTCAGGGAGCATTTCCTTTACCTGGGAGTTATGTCCCTGTAGTGGTCATCCCTTTGCTCGTGACCCTGTGTGAAATGGCATACGAGAAAGAGCAGAGGTGGTGGCATGGGAGGGTAAAGGAAATGCCGTGCCAGCCCTCAGACTGGGCAGGTCTCTGTCGACAACTGAGCTAGGTGTGGGGAGCCCACACAGCCAGGACGACAGCTTTCCTGTCCTAGAGACCCATTGTGCTATGTATTTTGATTCCCTGTGTATGCAAAGTATGTATTTACCATTGTAAGGGGGGAATGTGTGTGTCTGACTTTGGTGTTCAAAACAGATAAAACTGTATTTTTGCCTTTAAAATCCAGTAATATAACATGAATAAATGGCCCTATCTTTGTAACCACAGGTGGTTCCTCTTTTTATTTAAGGGGTGTATTAGTCCATTTCTGTTGCTTATAACAAAATATTTGGAACTGGGTAATTTATAAAGAAAACAAAATTTAATGCTTACAGTTTTGGAGGCTGAGAAGTCCAAAGTCCAGGAAACACATTTGGTGAAGGCCTCTGTGGTGGTGACAGTGACCCAGGGGTCTCACATGGCAGAAAATGGTAGAACAGAGAGAGACTCACATGCTCTCCTTTTAAATCCCTCAGAACCATGCTCCTGACCACCATTATTAATCCATTCACTACTGCACGGTCCTACAATCTAATCACCTCTTCA